GTCAGCGAGCAGGGTCGGCATGTGAGTAAAACGGTAACCGAGCGCGGAACAATATTTGTCCGATAACCAGCCTGGAAAACGTTCTCTCCGTGTGCTAATGGACTTAGCGGCGGCAGGACCACGTGCTCCGTTCCGACATACGAGCGTGCTCCACTCGTATGTTATGCACGTGCCTATTGCGCGGCGGATATCTGTTTGCAATGCTGCGCCGTGTTTCACCGGCGATGATTGATGAGATCTTTATTCATACGGACAAACAGCGGTAAGACCGCCGCCGCGCGCGTTTCTTCTGCCGCGAGCGCGCTTGATCGACTCGAATTCGGGTCGAATTCTAATGATGATCCGCGGACGTGGTTGTTTTACACGCCGTAGATTAGTGGAACGCATCATTTCCTGAGAATCTCAGCTGGTGTAATTATGGTACGGCAAACACTTCTATACGTATGCGATGCTCGAGCCCCTTTCTGCAGAATGTATCCAGCTGAGAAATTTAGCCTAGAAAGAGTAGCCTATGCAGATAGATTAAAAGAGGAAATTAGATTTAAATTTAAAACTTTGAAGAAAGTCTACAACGGGTAAAAGTGTTCTTTTTTTTATTACTGTCTTCTGAAAGTGATAACCCAAATGTTGGAGTGAATTAGTGGATAAGAAGTCACAGTGGATTTCTACTTCAAATTTCCCTATCATAGATTGTCCGCCTTATCACGAACAGTTCGCCAACAGCTTCTTTTCGCCCAATCCGATTGAAAAGCCGTGCCGTTGTAATTATCACAACTCTGATAAGACGACATAAATGGCAATGTATGCGTGTGTCTGTGATATCGCTTTCACTCCCGGATCAGTATTTCATCCGTATGAGATACTGAACGAGAATCATAATTAATACTAAATCCAGTCTTGCGGCGCAATACTTGATTGTAAATGTTTAAGCATCGCTTTTCTGAGCGGATGTAATAATATCCAACAAAAAAGAACCTTTTCCAAGTTCTCAATCTACTTCAAGTCGACTGACTTAATGACTGATAATTTCTTGCGTGAAAAATTGATTTAAATAGATAAATATAAATATACAAAAATCGGGAAAAGAAATAATGAATAACAATCTTGATACGTTCAACATTTGTCTCCTACAAATCTAGATTCTTCTCATTTAAATTTTGATTAATTTAAATTTAATTTAAATTTTGACAATATAACTTTACAATTTACAATAACTTTTACAATTTTGCATTCTAATTAATTTTATTTCATCGGTGGGAAACATTGTATAATTATTACATGTCGAACTATTCACATATCTTTTTGATTTTAACGACCCAGCATTCTGTGTTGCGTATCATGTAGAAGAAGATTTATGAGCCTTTAATATAAATCACTATTTTTTTATCGCTTTCTAAACTCCACCTTTCCTGTTGGACGCATATCATTAACAATTTGACGTTCGATACACTTTTGATATATGTTTCAAGCTTCTCGATTGTGCCGTTATATCGCAGAATGATTTTAAATCAGCGGCAGCGCCTTCTCAACCTTATCCTTCATACGTCGCATATTTTCACAGGTCGGATTCATCAGTTTGATGGAGCGTGAGATCAATTTCCCTCCGCTCGCGTCTAAAGGCCGGAAAGCATCTTTCTCCTGTGTCTATAATCACAGGATGACTGAACTGGCAATGACGATTCACATCAACGAAACCTTCCCGTCACTGTCCGTTATATCAACAGCTGAGACACCACCGTAATCTTTGAGTGACCTCAATGCCAAATTAATGGACTACAATATCAGTCCATCGAATCTTGGAAACGGCACAGTACTTGTCCACGATCTAAGAATATAAATTAAGCGTGAAACTGGTTTTCTTGAAGAGAAACAAAGAAAAAGAGGAGGAGAGAGAGAGAGAGAGAGAGAGAAACGGAAAGAGAGAAGATAAATGCTTATCGAAAACTTTGCAATAATTTCTCAGCATTTTTTATCTAGAAATTAATATTCTAAATATTTTAAGTAATATTTAAGTAATATTCTAATTATTATTAAATGTAGTGACAATCTTTCCCGGAATTCATTAATTAGATAGGTGGATGATACAGATTTCAAATAACGAATATTATACAAATAACGTGTGTAATTACAGATATATATAAGAAAAAAACAAGGAGGCATAAAAGAAAAAGTCATATTATAATTCGTCGCGTTTATAATACTTTATATGAAATACACATATCTCTCGTATCTCAGTACGTAATCACACCTAAGGCCGTTATCGCTAAGCGTACGCGTGTAAGCGACGTAATTTTAGAATCAAGGAAACCCAGTTAATAATTCCAATGACATGTCATCTATCTTAGACACTCCCCACTAATTTGGTGTACCACACCGATTTACATTCTATCATAACAGATAAGATTCCAGAAATATACATTGCTATCGCGACCTTAGAGTTCCGTGTTGCAAAATTATTTATGCAAAGTATCGCTATATTGGTTAAGATTTTTGCAAATTTAATATGTAAAATGTAAAAAATGTAAAGAGCGCAAAATTAATAATTCGATATTAAAATCTTTAATATCAGTTTAAAAATTGTTTGGTAAAATATATATATATATATAATTTTTACCAAATCTTAAAATTTTGAATAAGAATTAGAATAATAACTAACTATAAAAAGCAAATTTTCAAAATTTCTTGCACAATACAATTTAACAAATATAAAATAAAATAAATATGTTAATAAATTATAAAACTACTTCTTTAGTTCATTAATTCTAATTAATTTTTTTCTCTAAAACACTTTGTGCATCGATATCAATAAAAACAAAATATTATTACTAAGTCGATTAAATGTTTGCATGTAAATTACTAGTTTTCTTGGGTAGCCTTGATTCATTAATGGAAAATTAATTATATACGTATGTATTCTCATGAACGCATAATGTAATTACCACATTCAAGCAGAAAGATAAAAATAAGATATATGATGTAATTTTAAGTACATCTTACTTTTCCTCTTTTTAGTTTTATTTCGAATTCTGTAAAAAATTTTGCTGTTTACACGTGCGAAAATGTGCGATTTTTTCAAGAATGTTTTCAAGGCTTTTGCATAAAATCCGTAATGAAAAATAAAAAACACTTGCAGAAATATTTTATGTCAGAATATCTCATAAATACCTCATAAATCTTTAATTCGACGAGCTGTGTTTCTCTCTAAATTCTTTGCTGTCGTAAATATCTGATCGCATACTCAGATATTTTTGGTCCTTCTTTCCACCACGCCCAAAGATCGCAATAGATTTTTAGATTGCTGTATTCTTGGTTGCATTAATATTTACTTCTATTAAAGTTGAAATAAATCTCAAGTATTTTAAAATTTTTACTTTTCTAAATGTCAAGAATATAATATTCATCAATATCATGCAGCCAAAAGAATGAGTGTGCATTGTTTAGAAGATATACATCGATATTAACTGTTATATATTAGTTAATTATGCTCGATAAACGAGCTGAGAGTTGGTGCACGATATCGTACTTGCAGAAAATTGCAATCTTGCAAGATTACCGTTCGCTCTTTAAACTTCGATGTTCTCTTATTATGCCACACTGACGATTATAAACATAAAACGCTAATGATTATCTGCTTAACTCACTGACAGCTGACATTAACACACGAATTCCCGCGTGGAGCAGCCAGGTACTTTTGCGCGCGTTGCTTTTGATACTTGCAGTTCTATTTGCGTTCACTTTTCTACAGGTGATAGAACCATAGCGTGTACACGTTGCTCCAAATATGAAAGTTATGAAAACCAAACATACTTTTATTATAAAAAAAGATTAAGTTTTTTACCGGAGAATCATTATATAATACTTTCTCTTTTTTCCCTCTCTTTCCGTTCTCTTTTTTTCTACACAAAGAAAACATAATTAAAATTAAATTTGGCTAAATACAATCAAAGCTATTTTTCGACAGTAAAATTTGTATTTGACATTTTTGTATTATAGAATCGAGAAAAAAAATGATATTACATTTGCGCTGGCAACGTTTTGATAGATAGCTTTTAATGCTATATATAATGAATCAATAAAATATATATGAATCGTCCTGTATCGAAGATAAAATAAGAATGTCAGATAAATTAAAGATATGTTTCCGTGCTTCGCGTTACAATTTATTTCAACGTCAGGTAAATTCTGAGAACTCTGTAACTCATTTGTCAAGAATAAAAAAAAAGCGTCAAATCGTTGATCAGAATTCCCAACAAGGTGAGATGACTTCTACATGTCTACATTCTCAGACGAGCTATCCGTGAGTCATCTTTGATGAATTTTCTAACTGAACGTCTTCGCATCCTTATTTTCTTTAATCTCTCCTTTGCTTATAAACATCATCTGCAATAGCTGATATATTTCAGAAAATACACGATCGTATCAGTTAACCATCATCGTAATGTACGTCTTAATATGTATAAAATTGTTTTAATATATACAAGACGATTTAAATATCCTTGATCTGGGACATTTCAAGGTATCATGTTTAGATATATATTTATGCATCGCAATTCACAATCAGAATTGTCTCTGACAGTATGACATGTCCAAGAGATTAAACGTAAGATTAAAAAATAATTAATAGTTCAATAAAAATATATTGAGTCGCATGATAATTGGTTAAAAATTTTAATCAATAATGGACAAAATGAACGAATATGACGACGTCTTAAGATACTTTAGATTGAGCAGCCCCGTGTATTCGTATCACCTTGCGTACGTTTAATTAAAATTACAATTAAGTTGCAAACGTCACCGCAAAATGCAGAGTGTCGGATGCATAGTGCGCGAGAGAGGAGCACAGGTGATTCTGTTCGAGGAGAGGGATAGAGCGGCGAGACATGGGAGGAGTTCCCTGCGAGTGCTCTCTCCGTCTCTCTCCGGAGGGACCACTCTCGCGGTGGCAGAGGTGGTCTCTGCTCACCTGAGCGTTTCAGGTGGCAGTCGCCCTGCTGAGTCGCTCAGCGACGGGTTCTCCTCGTGTGAGCGCCGCGAGCGCGATCCGCCCGAGAGCACGAGAGACGATCCCGGGTATTTTGAGATACGCGCGCGGAGATCGAATATGTCAAGCGAATCCGCGAGTACGCGCCATGCGGCCCGAAGATCTTTCCGCTGACGATCTCCCGAATTCTCCTCCGCAGATCGATGGTGCGCCCATCGCATCTGTCTCTACAAATGCAACCTCGACACGTTTAATATGTCGATCTCGTCTAATTACTAGGACGAAGATAATTCATTAGAACTCATTTCTCTGAGAAGACAAAATATAAATCAATTAATTAATGCAATTATATTGTGAGTTGGACTGATTTAATCAACGACTAATCGTTCAATTAGACTGATTTAATTCGGAAGAATCTTTACAGGGGATAACTTGACGTACATGTAAATTTTTATTGACTGAAGCGGCACGTTTTCGGTGAAGCGATTATTCATGTCACTTGATTGAATAAAGAAGGATTTTCCTTACACATTTCGTAAATCTTTGTAAATCATAAATACTTCATGAAACTGTGACGCATCGCAAATTGCAACGGAACAAAATAAACAAACAACGATTCTACCGTCGTTCATGACCACAGATCGATAGAAATCGATCGATAGAATTGATCAGGAATTCGAAGAATTCGTGCATGTAAAAAAGTTAACAACCTCGATAATTTCGAGATCCAATTCCGACGATGATCAAGGATGTCATCTGAGAGGAAAAAAAAATAATTACCGTTAATAAAGTGGACTAACACAATCTTGATCACGACGGATCAATAATTCGCGTATATAAACGTTCCCAAGCAACGTATAAATTTGTCGTGAAATCGACTCGTTCGACAACATTCTGGAATTATCGAGGTATCGCCGTAATACCGTGCGGCGCGGAACTGCAAAAGGTACTCGATTAAAGAATCGATTGCGGGAAGAAAAACTTGAATCGAAGTTTATAGGTTTATAGAACAGTGATAAGGAAGAAAGTGTTGTGTATACATTGTTTAATGAAAGCGCCTCATTAGAGCAGAATCAACGAGGGATAAAAATACGTATACACTGATTAAAAATTAATTATGTTTGAATAAAATTTGAATAATGCCATTTACGCCATAGAGATAATATTGCATGTACTTTATGTAACAAAAGCGTGCCTTTATTTTTACGCTGGATTACAAAGCCTCTTCCAATGAAGAAATAAATGATTATACAAACACAGATCTGACGTTTTACATTAATACATATGCGAGTTTACAAAATACTATATATAAAAATAAGGGAGAATAATTTAATTCCTTTATTACAGAACACTTTCGAATCGAAGCGGGCTATAAAAATTCCGCTTCACCGTTTACTGAAATATAATAAAATAGAAACTTCAATTAATGCACAGGAAGAGCAGTAGCCATTAAATATCGGATTTCTACGAGTGTGTGTGATTATAGTGTGGTCGATTTATTCGATTTTAACAGCCAGACAGGAAACATGAACGGATTACCGATAATAACCGTGTTAATGCGCAAAATTGAGAAAAATCTATGAAAATAAATCTAATTCGTAAGATTTATTCCGCGAATCGATTTTAACAGCGGGTGGGAATATGAATTAAAAGCGAGATCGAAAGAAATGCGGTCAGCCATAAATCTTGCAAGGACGATTTGACTGCGGATGCCAACACCGTTACCATAATTGTGTCAACAATCACGTGTCTATAATTCAGCACCAACAAGTGTCATGTAAATGATATCGATCGGTCTACATTCGACGAAATTCGCATGCGGATCCTGTTAAAGAAGACCGCAAATAAATCCGCAAAGGTATTCATAAATGTTCCAATTAAACGGCCGCTATGAATCAGAGCGCAAAATAGAAGAGTAATCAATTAAACTTGATCGAGATAAAGATAAAAGCAGGTTTCCGCTCAAATTTATGTGAGCGAAGAGTTAAGTGTATGTAAGATTTCAAGAGCGTCGCAAATTTTCGCAACGCGATAGATTTATGTGAAAGCTGATAAAGCGGGAGAAATAATAATTTGCGAGAAATAATTCTCTGCGTCAAGGACTTTTCAAGTTTTGCAAAGACAATTGCAAGTGTCGCAGAGTTGCAAATAAATTAGTTAATAATCTTCGTCAAGAAATTTTCGTGAATGCCACCGGCGACCATTGATCATATCGAGTAAAGTCATGATGGGAGAGGTGATCCGTGTTTCTGGGAAAGCATCGGACGTCCGTGACATCCTGAAAGAAGCCATGCTATCGCAAAGGTTCGCCGATGTGGCTCTCTGCTGTCCAGGAGGCCAGAGATTCCTCGCGCATCGTCTGGTCTTATCAGCAGCTAGCCCCTATCTTCAAGTCAGTATAAAAAAAATGATAGATATAAATTGATAATTAAGTCAATTCATTGTAGAAATGAGGCACGAGTCAATTTTTTTACGAATGAGTCGACTGAAGAATAACGAAAAATCAATTATCTTTGTTTCAAGTTTTGTTCTCTCTCCCTGTGACGCGTTCTTACTGAAATAATTGATTAAATTTATTTAAAAAATTTTGATACTTTGTGAAATCTAATTGATGCTTGTTTTATAGAATTTTTTCGTTATGTGTTTGTTCAAAAATATTGGTAACGTACAATGTTATCGACAATTAATAAACATAAAAATGGATTTTGTGTTTCCATATTTTTGAATTAATTTTGGAAATAACTGTTTGTCCGAAAGTAATAGAGAATTAACTGTAAAAGGCAACTATATCGGCTTGGGTTTATGTATGATTTATTAAAAGTTTTATGGCAACGCGACATCTCGAGTATGTGCGTACCGCTAATTATCCTCGCCCATAAATAAAAGGTACGAGAAAAGGAAATATGATTCACTTTACTGTTTAATTAGCAGGTTAGTTGCCGTACAACAGACGGAGTTGTTAATCCTATACATGAATGCATTTCTCGTTTGGTTATACCGTTTGTTCACTATATTCGCGTAATCGCCGCTGCTATATAAACCGATTGTATGCGCGCGCTGACGAGCGTTTAATGCCGCCGAATTATGTCACACGGAAATAAAGATAATGCGATATCGCGCAATTTCTGCGCCAAGTTTCTTGAAATTGCGCCGATGCGTTGCGATGTATATTGCACTCGCGCGACCTCGCAGAGTTGCGCGAATCGTTAAACTATTGCGCCACTGGATTGGAACATGAGCGCAAAATTAATGAGACAAGCACAAGTATGGTAAACTCGGCGATGCTAATGTGCAGATGCGTTAGGATGTTCTGATCTTTTATCGTAATATTCTTCAATTATTTCTTAAGAATTGATTCTAAATCTACGGGACTTTCGTCTTGTCTTGGTTAAATAAAAGTTTGATTCTAATGAATTGATAAACTAAAATTATAAAATAGAAGTCCACCATTTGTCTAAATTTTCTCGAAATGTAATTATTTCAAATTTTTAATTTTTAACGCTGTATAATTCCAGAATTATCGAACAATCACTAATTTCTGTCTTTTCTTCTCACAGAAATGTTTGTATATTTAAAATTACAACTTATCTCACGCTTCATTGTTTTCTCATATAAAATATTTATCAAGTGCATTTTTACGTGAGTGGAATCGCGTTGCAGAAAGAAAATCGGGGAAATAAATTCCGATGCACTCCAGCAATTACAAAGTAATGTCGCGTCAGCGACGTGAAAATTGTCAATTATGCGTTGCTACGCGATTCCTGCCACGAATTGCGCTTTCTAATCTCTAGCAATTGGAATGTCGGAGAGAAAAATTTATCGTATTTCTCTGCAAATTAGGATTCATCGAGTCAGTTTAGCTCATCATCGTATTTACGTCGTATCTATCTCATTCCATAAAAGTTCTTAATTTGTTATTATAAGAATATTTAGAAGCGAGAGATATATATACTTCGCTCAATGTCAGCGTTATTCGTAATATTTTGTGGGATTATTTGCAATAAAACGTAACAAGAGTCTCAATTGCTTCAGTCGGACGGAAAAAGTAATATTGCGATCGTGTTAGAAAGGCAGTCTCGCTGCTTTCTGTTCCATGTATGAAAGAAAAGCAACGTCCGTAAAACGTGTTTTTTCTTGCTACAAATATGGTAACCTTGACTTCAATGCCGATAGATTCTTAGACCTTCGTTTCGATAAAGCTCGCACGACGCATTCCTACGATACCAGGTTATCCTTTTCAGGCTCTTGACGCGTACCGAAACGGTTTGCTGCGTCGCGTCTTTCCGGTACGGCTATCTGTACGGTACGCGAGTTCCCGAGTACCAGCATCTTGATTTATTGCCATTTGACCCAGTACCTGTTTCTTCCATACGAGATACCCACTTTTTCTCCATTCTGCGTGCATTGCGTGGTGTGAAAAGAAAGAAGCAATGGAATTCTCCACGCGCTATTTTTTATACCGTAAAAACGCAGAAGAAACAACTGTGAATATTGGAGAGTTTCAAAAAATACGAAAATCTTATACAAGATCTAAACTTTTCCAAAATTCACATAGTCGAATGTGTAAATAAATTCGAACCATATTCTTAAATATGCTTTTATACAAAACTAAAGTTTAGAGGATATATTAAAGAATAAAGAAAAATTTGTAACACTAATTACATAAATGTAACAGAAAATTATAAAATTGCAGAAAGTGCCGTAAGCGTTGAATGAATTCATTGTTATGAAATATATTGCGCGATTTGTGAACTTGATTGCGCTACTCATTTTTACATCTGACTTTTTCATCTTGATGAGCGTGGAAAATCACACGTGTTCTAATTAGTGCGACTTATACAATTAGCGAAACGTGCTAATTCTTGCAGTCTTATATGCGGCGAGTGAGAAAGTATTGTCATAACGAAGCACGCTCAGTATATTGTATTTTTTAGTACCGAGAAATTTATGGGAATGTGACGTATGTTGCACGTTACATGTAATGCACGTAAATTATAATACATATCGTTGAAAAGTGGAACTAAGAAATTTAAAATCATATTATCATCGTAATTATTTGTTTATTATTTTAGATTAATAAAAGAGAAAATTTATTTTACATTTAATTTTATTACTACGCCAAAGATATTGCTCGACGTCTAATAAAAACATATTTAAAATCTAAATTGGACTCTCCATAACTCGGAATTCGTAGAATATGTTTTATGGCGTGAGTAATAATATACTTTTTGCTTGTTTCTCTTACGATATTTTATTGCACACTTTATGGCCTTTCAGCATGTGACGTTGTAAAATAATTTCAAATAATTATGGTTTATTTTTTTTCCCGTTCGCTAATTTTGGTAATTATTAATGGCGCGTTTTTCTTTTTATAAACAACTTCAGCAGGAAGAAATCTTTACAATCGAGAGTTGAAGTTTTTACCGTTGGAGAAATGTGATACTGGCACTTGAAATACTCGATACCGGACGAACAAAATTAATTACAAGTACGTTGTTAACTTTGAGCATTTTTATACTTCAATTAAGAAAAGAAATTTTACATAACAATATTTTTTAAGTAAGAAAATAAATATCGAGAAAATAATTAAATGCAATGTGGTTTCAATATATAATTACCTAAGGAATGGCAACCCCTTTTGCCTCTTGTAATGTTTAAAAATCTATTGATCAGAATAATAAGAAGCTTTAAACAATCAATGATAGCTTTCCAATGCGAGTAAATTACGCTTTTTTCCAAGAATTACAACATTGTGCAGAATTTAATGTAAATTGGTACATGCTCTATTTATTTTTGAAAGTTATCAACCTTTTGTTAATAAAAACAATATGTATTTTATAAAGATTTAATTTCTTTTTAGAATAAAAACTACATAAAGCTGAGAGATTTCTGAATAAAATAATATCGGCATAAAGCTTAGTGATATAATTAAATTATTTTTATATAAATTTATATTCATATAAAATATTTTTTTTTTATTTGCGTTCTATTGTAACAAACAATTAATTTATTAGTTTTTTAAATTTTTCGAGAATGCAAGGTACTCAATTCATGCTCTCTTAAAATGTGGCAAAATAATATATGTATGCCTTGGTCCATTAAAAAAGATACATGCTACAGCAAAGAAAAACAGCAAAATATAACAGTTCTGCAAACATGCAATTTAAGAATTCACGGTTTATTTTCAGGAGATCCGATAGAAACAAAAACCTTTTAAACGTTGCATGATGAGAAGTTATGGTTATCTGTAGCAAGCAGATTATGGTGTGCCCGTGTACTTTTTGTAAGCATGACACTGCGCAAGAACGTGTTTCTCATGGTTGGAGTCATCATTAAGATGCCGGCGCAGCACGAGATCACGTATTCATTGCTTAATTAAGATTATCGTAACTTGAAAGCAAACGAACCGATATTTCACATCGACATGCTTACGTCAATCAAGAGATACGATGTCGATACGTGTGTAAGCACGCGACACATAATATCTTTCCGCCAAGCGCCTTTATTTTACCGATAAGTTTATAATTTAAAAGTATCACGTTATATTAAAATATAAAATGCAAAGAAATTTCGCGTTATTTGTCAGAAAGAAACTAATTAATCAAATTAAGTTATGCTTCTATTAATGCGATCGTGTATCAAAACGATAAAAAAATTGAAAAATGAGAAACAAAGTTGCAAATATACTGAAATTATGTCACGTAATATAACGCGTAATATAAAAATATCACGTGTCTGTATACTCGATTTAAATTAATCAACTAAAATTATTGTAATAAACTCCAAGCCATTAACGATGACATACATAGAGGAGACAGGATAACGGCAGAATCACGATGATATGCTGATGGTGGCGTTTTAAGTGCAGAAATTTTTCGAGCTTATTTGCTTCAGGAAATGCTAATTAAACGATGCAGAGTTAAAATTTATTATGAAACTAATTAGATGAAGACAGATCGACAGATCGTTACCGAAAGAGAAAAAATGAAAACTGATACAAATAAAACTTTATATTAAAAAAAAAAAAAATATATTAATTGTGAAAGAAACCGACTAAACAGTGACTTTGTTGTTTGCCTAATTTTATTTTTGTTTTAGAAATAATTATCTTTAAATTATAATTTAATAAATTAATAAAATATATTTGATTTTAAATAAAATAAAAAATTATTTTTAAAATGTTAAAAAATAGAGTTTAATATTTAATGTTAATTTGTTTTGTTGACAAAAATCTCAAATATTCCATTTAATTTTTATATTAAGAATGTCTTGTGTTTTATATTATGAATATATTATACTTTCAAGCAATTCTCTATTAATAAAAATGACTTTTATAAAAGATTTATATTACAAATAACCTTTAACGTACGTATTAAATTCTAAATTATTTTA